AGTGTGGTTAGATTGGTAATAGCACTGCATACCTTGTTCCAAGGTTCGTAGGTTCGAGTCTCCTTCAGCCAGAGATCAGTGTTTGTGTATATTTCGCCTGCTCTTGCGAATTCCTTGCATATATATATATATATATATATATAATATATATATATATATATATATATATATATATATATATATATATATATATATAATATATATATATATAATATATTTCTGGAGGAAGCAGTGTCTGGAGAGGGTTTCGGGGGGTCAGTGCCTTCCTTGGTCCGCTCCGTGACCAGGCCTTGGGGTGAATCAAGGCCTGATTAACCAGGCTGTTACTGCTGACCTCACGCAAACCGACGAACAAATCACAGCCCGGCTGGTCAGGTACCGACTTTAGGTGCCTGTTATGCGCTTTCTTGAAGACTACCAGGGGATCTATTGCTAATCCCCCATATATATGCTGGAAGGCAGTTGAACAGTCTTGGGCCCCCTGACACTTATTGTATTGTCTCTTAGCGTACTCGTGCCGCCCCTGCTTTTCATTGGAAGGACGTTGCCTCTCCTGCCGAGTCTAATGCTTTCGTAGGGAGTGATTTTCGTGTGCAGATTTGGGACTAGTCCCTCTAGGATTTTCCAAGTTTATATTATCATGTATCTTTCTCGCCTGCATTCCAGAGAATACAAATGAAGGGGCTTCAATCGTTCCCGGTACTTATGCGTGCCGTGAAAGTTCTCTGTGTATTCTCCAGGTCTGCAGTTTTGCCTGCCTTGAAAGGGGCTGGTTAGTGTACAGCAGTATTCTAGCCTAGAGAAAACAAGAGATTTTGAAGGTTTTCATTATCCATGTGGAGAAATTTTCTCCAGGAGGGGGTATCAGCCCCCATCAACCCCTTCAGCCCCTTCAGCCCCTTTCAGCCCCGAGGGGCCCAGCCCTCTCAAGAGGGGCAAGCGTCTTGTTTACTGCTACAGTGATTAATCGATCACAGATGCCATACGAGTATGCGACGTGGTCAAGTTGACCGCTGCTCCTTGCTGTGCAGTGTTGCAAAGTGTAGTTTAATAAGAGACAGTACATCTCTTACTTTAGCAGGACAATTAAGGAAAATCCTGGTCCCTCCTTATTACCATAGTAAAGATAGTGGACATTGTTGTCTATGCTTAAGACAGCAAGAATCAAACCTTCTGTTTTGCTTCATCGAGGAAGTGGCAAGGAAGCAAAAGTACTAGGTCAGCATTTTCTTTGTGCTAGGGGAGTGACGGCATGGGGCGCTGTGGCGTCTTCAGATTACTTTTGACTCTACTGAGAGTGACACTGACGCCAGGATAACCAACAAAGAACAACGATCTGTGCGTTAGTGTGAACAAAGTGTCTCACAAAACCCAATAAACACTTAAGAGAAGTGTGATCAGCTTCTCTTGTGATAAGATTGTGAACAATAAAGACAAATCTTGTGGAACATAGTGTACCAGTGTGCATTTCCTAGACAATGGAAGACGTGGACATCCAAGGACACTTCAGCTTCTATCAAGTCACCGATACCTGTCGAAGGTGTGAAGAACACCATAGCTCACGTTACAAGAGCAAGGTATGTTACGAATTTCTTGTAGTACGGGGGACTGCGCAGTACTTGAGTCGCAAGGAGTTTGTAATCAACCTATAGTCGGCAGTAAGGTGTGGACTTTTGAGTCCAAACAAGTATGTAATTTGTCAGCCATCAGTGAATGAAATATGCTGACATAACACCCCCTAGGGGTAATTTGTAATCTTACAAATTATAAATCTTTACAGCCCGTTGAAAGATGGTTTCGACAGCTTCTAGACCTCGTCTGCAGGGGCGGCTGTGTAGACGATTTGCTGTCTTTTATCAGCTAAGTGTTCACTATATTTATATTTATAAATATCTTAGCTGGTAATGCCATTTCTCAACAATCCATCCTATCATTTTCCTTGCAGATGTGGTAGATACATTGTTGTGATCTTTGAAAGTGAGATGATCCGACATTATTACTCCTAGATTCTTTACATTAGTTGCTAGCTGTATTGTGTAGTTGGAATTTGTTTTATACTCTGATGCAGTTTTAATTTCCTAGAGTTTTCCATAGCAGAGTAATTTCGATTTGGTTTATGACCACTTGGAGACTTGCAGTGTCTTCGATTTATGACGCTGTCATGCAGGTTAGGGTATCAACTGCAAAGGAAGACACGGTGCTGTGGCTTACATCTCTGTCTATGTCAGATATGAGGATAAGGAACAGGATGGGAGTGAATACTGTGCCTTGTGGAACAGAGCTTGTCACTGTAACCGCCTCAGACTTTGTTTACTATTACGCTTTGTGTTCTATTTGTTAGGATGTTATAGATCCATCTACCAACTTTTCCTGTTTTTCCTTTATCACACATTTTGTGCGTTATTTCATTACGATCGCATTTATCGAAGGTTTTATTTGTCCTCTAGAGCATCCAAGACCATGCCATAGTGTTCCAGTAGTTGAGATAGGCAGGAGCGACCTGTTCTAAGCCAGTGCTGCCCTGGTTGTGTAACTTATGTGTATCTAAGTGGGTGGTGATTTTGCTTCTTAGAACCCTCTCAAAGATTTTTATGACGTTAGTGCTATCAGAATGTAATTCTTTGCAGTTATTCTACTGCCACTAGGTAAAATTGGTCAATTAGCAAGAACTCATTTAAAATTAAGTCCTTTCTAAAATTTTCTCTTATACGTTTAATTAAAGATATATTTTTTTCATTTATGTAAATATAAAAATTAATAATTTTGTTCCAAAAGAACATTAACAAAAAAAAGGCACAATACCGTGACTGGAACAATACACAAATAACTCGCACGCTCTCTGCCAATCCCTAGGCACCTTACTCTCTTCCATACATTTATTAAATAATAGCACAATCTACTCCGAAACTATATTATCTACTTTTCACATTTCTGTCTCTATCCCATCAATCTCAGCTGCTTTACCCCCTTTCACTCTACCCACTGCCTCACACACACCTTCCCCACACTCACAACTGGCTCTTCCTCACTTCTACAAGATGTTATACCTTTCTGCCCAATGCACGAAATCACAGCTTCCCTATATTCTTCAACATTCAGCATTTCCTCAAATTATTCCCTCCGTCTTCCCGATATCTCTAATTCTCTATCTAACAACTATCCTCTCGAATTTTAGATGTCAAATCCATTCGTTCCCCAGGATTTTTCAACTTATTAATCCCACTTCAAAACATTTTCTTATTTTCAACAAAATTTGTTGATAGCATCTCACCCACTGTCTCATTTGCTCTCCATTTACATTCCTTCCCCACTCTTTTAACCTCTCTCTTTCTCTCCATATACTCCTCCCTTCTGGTAAAAACCTCTCATATGCTAACTTTTTCTCTCTTACTACTCTTTTATCTCATCATTCCACCAGCCGCTCTTCTTCCCTCCTGCACCCACTTTCCTGTAACCACAAACATCTGCTGAACACTCTAACACTACATCCTTAAATCTACTCCATAACTCTTCAACCTCATTGCCTATACGATCACTAGCCCATCTTTCTTCCAATAGTTGTTTATATCTTACCCTAATTGCCTCCTCCCCTAGTTTATAAAGTATCTCGCTCTTACTTCATGCTTCTATTTTCCATGTATCCCATCTACCTTTTAATCTCACTGTAGCTACAACTAAAAAATGATCTGACATATCTGTGGCCCCTCTATAAAAATGTACATCCTGATGTCTACCCAACAGTCTTTTATTTACCAATACATAGTCCAACAAACTATTGTCATTACGCCCTACATCATATCTTGTATACTTATTCATTTACACCTGGCACCCTACACTTACTAACCACACCTCTAAACGCTTCTCCCTCTTTAGCATTTAGATCCCCTATTACTCTCTCACTTGGTTCAAAAGTTCCTAAACGCTCGCTTAACATCTCCCAAAATCTCTCTCTCTCTCTCTCTCTACTCTACACTCCTCTCTTTTCCAGGTGGATACACATTTATTATAACCCAGTTATTGCATCCGACTCTTGTTTTAATCCACATAATTTGAATTTATACATTTATATTCCTTCTTATTCTTCCATTACTGATCCTTCAACATTACTGCTACTTCTTGCTTAGCTCTAACTTTTTCAGATACTCCTAATTTATTCCCATTTATTTTTCCCCACTGAAATTCTACCCCCTTCAGCTTTGTTTCGCTAGGACAACCGACTTCTTTCATTTATAACACTGACAATCATCTCTTTCTTATCATCTGCATTACATCCATGCACATTCAAACAGCCCAGTTTTATAAAGTTTTTTCTTCTTTTCTTTAGTATTTCATACAGACGGGGTTACTAGCACATTGCTCCCGGCATTTTAGTCGCCTCATACGACACACATGGCTTATGGAGGAAAGATTCCATTCCACTTCCCCATGGAGATGAATGGAAATACAAAGAACGAAAACTATTCAGAAAAATAGTTAAAAATTCAGATCGGTATGTACACATATACTTGTACATGTATATGTAGTGTGACTAAGTGTAAGTAGAAGTAGCAAGACGTACTAGTTTTCTTACGTGTTTATGAGACAGAAAGAAAAAGATACCAGCATTCTTACCAATATGTAAAACAACTACAGGTTTCTGCTCCACACGCAGTTGGCAGGACGGTAGTACCTCCCTGAGAACTTCCGTCTTTACCACTGCTCTAGTGATTTCTTTCCCAAAAAAGCAGTGGCCCAGAGGTTATCAGCCTGGTCATTGCCAAAGATGTTACGATGACCAAGTACACTTTGTTAGTCATGGCTAAGAGGGAACAAACCTTTGTTAGTCAAAGCTAAGTGGAAACCAGTCATTGTTAGTCATGGTTAAGAGGAAACGACCCTTCATTAGCTATGACTGAGTGAAAACGAACCTTTGCTAGTCATGGCTAAGTGGAAACGTACCTTTGTTAATCATGAATAAGTGGAAATGAACCTTTATTAGTCATGGGTAAATGGAAACGGACCTTTTTAACTCCGTAGATAAGAATGGAAGTGATGACGATATGAGCCAGTAACTCCAAGATTCTTCCCACCATATCTGTGGAGACATGCTGATTACTGTATAGTTACACCTACGTTGAGAGAGAGGGAGAGAATTGAACAAAAACTTAACTGTACATACATTATTCTTGTGTCATTTATAGCAATATACAGCAAATAATTTTTCGCAGTATACCAATACATTTGATTATTTTTGGCTTAATTCATTCAGTAAATACTGACCTGGAAACTTCATATGAACCAATAACAGAATTATGGAGACGAAGCAAGCAAGCTGAAAAAAAAAAAATTCTATATTTTTAGGGGTGATAGGTTAAATAGATCATTTTAAATATTAACACATGTTTCCTTCCTCATTTAGGAAGAGTGATTCAAAAAGAAAACTCAGTTTCTCTGTAACTTGTTTCCTAGCTTTCTTTAGGGAATATCATAGCCATGCTAGAGTGATCGGCTCGTAACTAAAAGTAGCAGGTACATCAGCTGTTTTGTTGAGGTTATCTTCTTCACCTGTGATTACTTGGCTCACGAGTTATACATTAATGCTTAACAATCCAAAGATCTAGCCAAGGTGTGAACTCTGGTCCACAGAGCAGTACCGACCGTCAGAGCCAACAATCCTTGTTGTTAACACCAGCAGCAGTCACCATACCAGAAACAATCACTGTTAACAGCATCACTCACTATCTCAAGGGAGGCGATGATATAGACTCCTCTCTTGAGTGAACAGCAGCAGCAGCTGTCCACCACCAGCCAGGGTCTTCCCCTCAACGTGCAACACTCCATCTATAGAAGATGGTGACGGCGCTCTCGCAAGAATCTCAACACCTGCAGAGCAAGGTTAGCGGAATTATAAATATCTTACTTTTTATGCAAATCTTACAAGCTTGCCTTATAAAGCAACGAAAAATGTATTAATAAACTGAATTTATTTAATATTTAAAAAAATTAATACGTATCAAGAATATATATATATATATATATATATATATATATATATATATATATTATATATATATATATATATATATATATATATATATATATATATATAATGTCGTGCCGAATATGTAAAACTGGTCAATCAGCAAGAACTCATTTAAAATTAGTCCTTTATAAAATTTTCTCTTATACGTTTAAAGCTATATTTTTTCATTAATGTTAATGTAAATAAATTTAATTTTGCTCCAAAAGAATCTTAGAAGAAAACTTACCTAACCTTATTATAACAAGAACAATTTATTTTAGCCATACCCAACTAAATATATTTTAGATTTGTTTACAATAATTTAATACTAAACAAACACAGTGAAATATATATATATATATATATATATATATATATATATATATATATATATATATATATATATATAAGTAGTGAAGAAAGCGGCTGAGTGGCTCCTTCCGGTTTGGGCCTTTCACTGGGCGAGGAACTTCCGGTTTAGGCCTTCCACTGAGCGGTGTATCCGGTCTAGGACCAGCAGCTGGAGGGTCACCTTTTTCACACCTAGGTGTTACTTCCGGTTTTGACCATGACCTCGCCCTCGAGACTACCTCACCCTTGACCCCCCAACCAATACCCCCACCCACCACGACCCCCCGCCTCGCGACCCCACCATCGCGCCGCGCGCCCGCGCGCCCGCCCGCGCGCCCGCCCGCCGCCCCGCGCGCCCGCCCGCGCGCCGCCGCCCGCGCGCCCTTCGCGCGCCCCGCCCGCCCGCGCGCCCCGCCCGCGCCCCTTCGCGCCTTCTGCTGCGTCTTCTGCAGCGTCCGTCCGGATCGCCCCCCGCGCCCGAATTTTTTCCGGCTTTTTTTTTTTCTTTAAAATTATAAAATTATTAAAATTTTTAACCCTGGGCAAGGTTGGGTTATAAACTTCTTTTTTGCCTTACGTTCCTTAAAAAAAAAATTTTAATAAACTGTTTTTTTTTTTAAAAAAAAAATCGTTCAAGAATAAAAATTTTATTTTTTTTAAAAAAAATATAAAAAAAAAAAATTTTTTAAAAAAAAAAAAAAAAGGGGCAATAGAAAAGAAACGAAAAAAAAAGCCAAAAATTTTTTTTTCCTTTAAATTTTTTTTTTTTTTTTAAAAAAAAATTTTTTTTGCCCAAAAACTTGGCTTCCCCTTTTCGTTTTTTTTTGGGCCCCCCCCCCCCCTTTTTTTTTTTTTCCCCCGGTTTTTTTTTTTTAAAAAAAAATTTTATTTTTTAATTTGGGAAAAGGGCGTTTTTCCCCTTTTTTTTCCCCAAATTCCCTTTTGGTTTCCAGGGTTTTGATCCCCTCTACCCCACCATCCCTTTTTAACCCCTTTCTTCCTTTTGTCCCCCCGGACCCTTTTGACCCCCCCCAAATCCCCCCCCACCAACCCCCGTGGACCCCCCTGGGCCCCCCCCCGGCCCCCCCCCCCCGGGGCCCCCCCCCCCCCCCCCCCCCCCCCCCCGATCCCGGGGCCCCCCCCCCCCCGGGGTTGGTTTTCCCTTTTTCCCATTTTGGAAATTTTTTAAAATTTTTTTAAAAAAACCCCTTTCCTCCACCCCCAACGGGGACCCCCCCTTTTTTCCCCCCCCCCCCAAAAAAACCAAACCAACCCCCCCACCCACTCCCCCACAAAACCCCCTTTCCCCTTTTTCACCCCCATTCCCAAAATTTCCCCCCAAAAACCAAAATTTTTAAACCCCCCTTTTTTTTTTCCCCCAATTTCCCACCCCAAACAAAAACCCCCCTCCCACCCCCCCCCCAACCCCCAAAAACCAAAAAAATTTTTGACCCCCCTAGGGGGTTTTTTTTCAACCCCCCCCAAAAAATTTTTGAACCCCCCCCTTTTCCCCCCACCCCCCCCCAAACCCCGAAAAAATTTTCCCCCCCCCCCTTTTTCAAATTTTCCAACCCCGGGAAAATTTTTTGGGTCCCCCTTTCCCCCCACCCCCCAAAATTTTTTTCCCTTTTTTCCCCCCCCCCATTTCTCAATAAAACCCATTTGGATCCCCCCCCCCTTTTTCCCCCATAAATTTTCCAAAAAACCAAAACTCCCACCCTCAAAAATTTTTTGATCCCCCCTGGGTTTTTTGAAATCCCCCCTTTTGGATCAAATTTTTTTTCCCCCTAAATTTTTATCCCCCCAAAAATTCTCAAAAAAATTTTGGCCCCCCCCCCGGGGTTTTTTAAATTCCCCCCCCTTTAAGGTTTTTTGAATCCCCCCCGGGGTTAAGTTTAAAACCCCCCCAGGGGGAGTTCAAAGGCTCTTTTTTTTAAAAAACTAAAATTTCCCCATTAATAAATGAACAAAATTTTCCTCCATTAAAAAAAAATAAAAAAAAAAAAAATTTTTACTGGCTTTTTCCCCTTTTTTTATTAAAGAAAAAAAAGGCCCCCGGAAAATTTGGGGGTTTTTTTTTTAAAAATAAAAAATAGGGGGGCCACGCCACACAGGTTTAAACTTGTCTACCCTTTTTCCCACCCTCCCAAACCCTCACCTCCCAAACCCTCACCTCAAATTTTCACTCATAACCCCCATTTTTCTCGTTTTAAAAAACCCTTTTTGTTTTTATTAAAGTGGGCACATGCATCAGAAAGTCCCCACCACTTTCGTTAAATTCACTCTCAAAATTTACATATTTCGAAGTTTAAAAACCACTTTTTTCTTTTGAACACTTCAAAACCTCTAAATCATTTTAATACTCACAAAAAAATACCTTTTTACTTTCCAAACCCAAAATAATTTTCTCCAAAAACATTTCGAACACCCCCAAATCACCTCTGAATACTCCCAAACACCTTCATAAACTCTTGACATCATTTGAACACCTTCAAAGTACTCTCTAACATTTGTACACCTTCAAAAAACCCCCTTTGAATACTCACTAAACACCCCTTGAAAACCTTCAAAACACCTTTAAACACTCTCTAACATTTTAACACCTTAAAACACCCTTAAAAACCTTTAAAACACCCTTTTAACACCTCAAAAAACAACATTTGAAAACACTCAAAACCCTTTTGAAAACCTTTAACATTTCCAAACAAAAACTGAAAAAACTTCCAAAAAAACACAAAATTTAGTACTCCCCCTTACACCACTGATTACTACTAAAACACCGCTGAATTCAAACAAAACACCCTCAAACCTTCAAACACCCTTGAACACCTTCAAAACACTCTTGAACACCTTTAAAAAAACCCTTTTAACATTTCCAAAACACTATTTGAGTACTCCCAAATTTCACCACTGAAAACTACTAAAACCCATGAATTCAATCAAAACACCCTCAACACCTTCAAAACACCTTTGAACACCTTTGAATACTCACATAAACACCCTTAACACCTTCCCAAAAAACCTTTGAATAACCTCAAAAAACCTTTGAACACCTTTAAAACACCCTTTAACACCTTCAAAACACCTTTTAATAACCTCCAAACACCTTTGAACCCTTCAAAACCCCTTTAACACCTTCAAAAACAACATTTGAACACACTCAAAACACCTTTGAACATTTCCAAAACACTATTTGAGTACTCCCAAATAAGATTTTACATCTCAATTTATCTGCATTTCCCTAAATTTCAACCATCCCCATCTCCAGACTAGGGGATTTTTCTCGTTTTTTCCCTTTTTTGTTCATTAAAGTTTTAAGGGGCCAAAAACATCAGAAAAAATCACAAAACAACTCAAACATTTTCTTTGAACACCCCAAAAACACTCCATAACATTTTAAAACTCACATAAAAACCCCCTTTTAAACCTCAAAAACCTTTTAATATCGTTTTTAAACTAATTTCATCAAACCCACTTATATCTCTTTTTTGGTAATCAAAATTTGACAACAACACCCACAACACCCACATCCCCCAAAAACCCATGAACATTTCCAAAAAAACATTTGAACCCCCAAATTTCACCCCTGATTACTACAAAACACCGCTGAATTTAAACAAAACGCCCTTCAAAAAACCCCCAAAACCCCTTGAACCCTTAAAACACTCTTGAACACTTCAAAAAAAACCTTTTAACATTTCCAATCAACACTGAAACCTTCCAAAAAACACAATTTTAGTACCCCAATTACACCACGAAATACTACAAAACACCGCTGAATCAATCAAAACCCCTTCAACACCTTCAAAAAACCTTTGAAACCTTTAAACACCTTTGACACCTTTAAAACACTCTTTAACACCTTTTAGAAAACACCTTTGAAAATTTCCAATCAACACTGAAACCTTTCCATACCCCAAATATTTGCGACATTTTTCAACACCCCCCCCATTCTTTTTCCAATATATCATAACTTTTCAATTCATAATTTTTTTTTTAAAATATTTACACATTACCTTTATATTCAGTAAAACTCTCCAAATTTTTAATTACAAACCCTCCCCCTACCCCTCTCCAACACCCGCAATTTTCACATCCACCACCCTCTCCCCAACATACCTCTTCTGAACACACACAAAAAAAATTTACATTTCCATCCACAAATGCACTCAAAATCCACTAAAATCACGAACCAAAATATTCACACACCACACCTTACCTAACCTAAAAACCCAACCCAACCTAGCCTAAAACCCCAAACCCAAAATAACCTAACCTAACCTAACCAACCTGTCCCAAACCCAACCTAAACCCAAACCAACCCAACCTACCCAACCTAATTTTAAACCCAACCCAACCTTACCTAACCTTACCTAACCTAACCTAACCTATCTTATCCTAATCCAACCTAACCTAGCCGAACCTATCCTAAAATATATTGGAACACCCCCAAAACACTATTTGAGTACTCCAGAATTACTTTGAACGACTCCATTTTGGATATATCCAAATTAGTTTTGA